CACTAGGGATTGGCTGGCAGGCTTCTGTGATGTCACAGTCACTGAATGCCACTCTGGGCTGGGAGGCGACCAGAGCCAGTAGTGCGTCTACTGCCCAACTGACCATTGGTATGTAGGCAGCGGCGCATTCAGAGAATCACATGGATTCGCGATGGAGGTGAGTGGCACTTGCTCTCTGCATGAGCTGTGGTGTGGGAAGGTCCTGCCAGGGGGTGTGCCCTGGTCTCCCACACTTATTCCATGAGTGATGTGGTGGCTCTGAGTGCTGGCCCTTGTGCAGAGCGTGTATACAGTATTTCTCATTCTTCCCGCTCTGCTGGTCACCAGTGTTGAATGGGCCTGGGTGTGAGTCCCTGTCTGGACATGGGTTCAAGACTAGGTGTCGGGTCAGCTGGTATCAGGTGGGCAGGGAGGCCGGCTCTGAGAGCCCCAGAGATGCGGGAGCTGGGAGCAGGCCAGGGAGCCCCGTAGACTTGGGCTCCCTGGAGGACACATGGATGCCAGCCTGGGGGAGGAGCGCCCTTTCCGAGGGCAGGGGAGGCAAGGTGGGGGCTGTCCTTCCCCAACCGTCCCTAGTCCCTGAGCTCTGCACAAGTCATCCTGCAGGGACCCAGACACCAGGTGCCCGCCTGCCTGGCTGTGTGGCTGTCCCCCCTCTGACCAGGGGGACAGCCCTCAGGGCAGCATTCCTGTGGGCTCCCCGGTGCTGGCTCTCATGTGCGTGTGTGTCTTACAGATTGGATATGAATGCCCTGAGGTCCCGGAGGGCCCAGGAGCGAGCAGCGCTCTTCAGACAATATGAGCAGGTACCGGCCAGGGTGCTGGGGGAGGAGGTGGGGCCCTGCCTCAAGGACTGTGCCTGTGAGAGCCAGACCCAGCCTCCCTGGGGACACGGGGGAGGGGGCAGGTGGACAGCTCCCCCAGTGACTTCTCATCCCGGGTCCCTCTCGGCTGCAGGGATGCCGAGGAGCGGCACTGTTGGTGCCCGAAGAAGAGGACGATGAGGGCGGCTGCCTCGTCCCAGACAGGCTTGGGTTCCTGCAGTGAGTCCTCCGCACCCCAGCTCACCCCAGGGCGGGACTGGGGTCAGAAACCCCAACATGAGGCGGCACACCTGTCCCCGGGTCCCGACCTTGAGCTCAGCTGTGGTCACAGGCAGGCACTGGTCAGCATTTGGGGGCAGGAGTCGGACGTGGAGGCTGTTCCCACAGATGTTGGGGAGAGAGGCCCCGTGGCTGGAGGGTGGGCTCCGGTGACCTGGAGGGATGGAGCCATCTCGGGCCATCTCTGGCATGACTCAGCAGCCCACCTTAGCACGGGGATGAGGGCTTCTGCCTCCATGTTGTGCCAGAACCTGGAGAATAAGTAGGAGCAGAGTGGTGGAGAGATGGTCAGGGTCTGGGCTGACAGAGGAGGGGGTAAGGTGGGGCGCATGACCTCAGGAGGCCAGGGCACGGGGGGAGGGTGGGCAGTGGGGGACCCTGAGGGGTGTGGGGGTCCCAGGTGCCTCGAGCCCCAGGTGCACACTCACAGCACTGAGCATCTCTCAGGCAGGTCACCCAGACTCGGTCAGTTCCAGGGTGACGTCCTGGGCAGAGCTGATGTGGGGATATAGCTGCCTCAGCCCTGGGCAGCCTGGCCCTGCTCAGGACAGCCACCCCACAACCGCTGTGGGGGGCTGCCACACACCCACGAAGGTGGACCTCTGACAGGCCTGGAGCCCCCCACTGGCAGCAAGGGCCCCTGCCTGGCCCTGGGCTCCCTGTGCTCATGGTCACCAGCCCCTCCCTCCCCATCTCAGTCCCCTGGGCTGAGAGGATGAAGCTGGTCCTTCCCTGGCCCACTAGGGAGGTCGCGGTGCCTGTTGTGGTCCTGTCCTCACCTCTCCGCCTCCCTTGCTTTCCAGTGAGCAGAAGTTGCCCCAAGACAGCACCCCGGGGGCAAAGGTAAGGACAAGTCCTTGGCCATGGGCCAGTCATCTGAAAGCAGAGCTGGGCGGAGGGGCACGTGGGGCTCGGCAGTGGTGAGTGGGAGCGCCATAAGGTCCCGCGATGCGGTACTTACACGGCACCTGCTGACATCTTACCACACTCACCTGTCCCAGAAGTGAGCCGCAGCTCAGGGGCGTCTGCTGTCGGCCGCCCTGACTCATTGGCATGGTTGGGAGTGACCTGGCTGGAGCTCAGGGGCTCTTCCTTGAAGACGGGGCAGCTCGGGTCAGAGGCCAGGCCACCGATGCTCCCCCAGACAGAAGATCTGGGGCTCACGGTCTGTGCCTTTTCTGGCTCCTTCTATTTGAGCACCCACAGAGCTCCTGAGCTGCATCCGAGGGCCCCTCTCAGAGCCCCAAGCTGGGCTCACGCCATCCTGTCTCATTTTCCAGCGTAAACAGGAGGTGGGAAGGATCCAGAAGTGGATAAAGATGATAAAGAACCATATTAAATACCGCGGCAGCGACAAGGTACCGTGGCGATGAGGGCCCCTCGGGAACACTGAGAGCTGAATTGGGGTTTGAGCAGTGCCCATTCCTGTGCCAGGCACCGCCTGCCTCTCAGATGCCCAGGGGCAACTGTCCAGTCCCTAGAGACACAGGTCATGGGCACACCTTCCAGATACAGCAGGGCAGTGTCCAGGAGGGGGGGGGAAGGCGATGATGGGCCGAAGCAGCGTGCCCAGCCCGCGAGGGTAATAAAAGAAGGGAAGGAAAGAAAAGAAGGTAAGAAAGGCGAGGACGAGGCGAGAGAGGACGACGGACCGGGGGGAGGCACAGGGGTGCGACAGAAGCGAGAGGTATGGGAAGAAAGAGCGAGGAAGATGAGCGCGGAGTGGGGGCAAAGGGAATGGAGACGAAACAGAGTAGAGCAGACGAAGGAGAGGGTGGTCGGCGGAGACTGAGTACGAACGAACGCAAAGCAGATACGGCCGAAGAAGGATAGAAGAGCAGATGATAGGATGGACAACGAGCGGCGACACGAGCTAATACAGCAATCATGACCGGGACGAAAGAGCGGACCAAGCGTAACATAGTGGACGCAAAAACGAGTTCAAGACTGCCATGAACGAATCGGCCTGAAAAAAGGAAAAGAGTACGGAGGAAGGCGTACTGCAATCGGGC